AAAAAAAAAAAAAAAAAAGACAACGTACTCATCATTGACATCATTCTTTAATGTCCAATTAGCGATTGTTCTATCGTGTCCGTCGAGTTTCTTATTCACGTCAATTGTCCTCTCGATATAAGGAGACTTGGCTGCACTTGTTTCATTGACATGCCTTTTCGGCCTCGGTGACCTGTCAGCATCACCAGCCTCTCCAGTCTCTTCTGAAACAAAAATCAGCATGTGTGTGAATCAGCATGACCACAATATCAATAACTACAATTATTACATAAATAGTGCCACGTATCACTGATATACCTGTAGTAACGCACTGATCAGGGACCAAGCCAAAAACTTCAATAGTCGGTGTCTTCTCAATTGTCCTAGTCGTCTTATCAGACAAACCGAGGACCACTTCATAATTGAACAAACATATTCAAACAACGCAACCAATATAGAAAATATATATATATGTATATAACCAAACACACCTTGAACAAACAAGACAACTACATTTATGTAATCACAGTTTGATTCACGTACATTTTTGCACATCAACTTCAGGTTGCATCTCACCCGGCTGTTTAAATCCATTGTCGCTCGTATGTTGACGTTCAGCAACATCGTCGGCATCGTCGTCTGAAGATAAGCCCAAGCTGAAGCTAGGGACGTCACATTGCATTCTCATGAAGCGATCCCGCTCTTCAACCGCTTTCATAATCTCATCTATCATCACTAACGTGTCAGGATGATTCCAGAACACGTCATCAGCTAGTTGTGATGCGACGCCCTTCGCGTAGTCCTTCGATACGTCGTTGTTTCTGTACATGTGTCGCGATGTTGACTTGGACCGAGATGGTAGGGTTTAACACGTGGCACCTCACTATGCACACCAAGTATCTTCTAGGCCGCATCATGCATTTTCGCAAAGTTCCCATCTCCCAAAAGAACTTGTGGTGCCTTTTCGACCAATTGTAATATTTGAATTCCCGTAGTGGCAAGAAGTCGAGTTTTAGATGCAAACTCCTGGACATACGCCTGTCAAAGTACATATTAAATCAATATATGTTAATGCACACTTATGCCAATTGTAATGCACAGATGAACATCATATAATGCACTCTTTATTCTTGAACTACAAAAATAGGGGAGTTAAGACATCCAACACAAGAAGTTAACAATAACAAGTATCGAAAGACACAAAATGACACAAGAAGTTAACAATAACAAGTATCGCAAGACACAAAAGATGGGTAACAATGTAGAATGGCCTTTCAATATAAAAACAAATCGTAACATTCGTACCCACTAACTCTGTCAGATGGAACAAATATGCAAGGACAATGCACAATATTCAATCTGGGGACATAACAAATATTAAACAACAAAAAATAATGGACATTTCAATATGAAAGCAAATAGTAACCTTCGTACAAAATACGGAAATCACGTATTAAACCGCCATCTGCATATGTCTGATTGTGCACATTTAAGAATCTCACAACGCACATTTGAAAATAAAAAGACGCACATTATATACTTTATAAAACAATTACTGCGGGGGAAAAAAAAAAGAAACAAAACATGTCGATTGTGTATAAAAAGGGACTGCAATCGGAGAAAAAATAAAAGCCAAACAAAAAAAGAACGACATGTAAGCATATCACATCAAAAGCTAATACGCATCTAATATTCTGATACATATATATATTTTTTTAAAAAAAAAAAATCAAACAGATAGTAGATAGTAAATCACGGTCGACCTGTAAGTCGCGGTCCTCAGTGACACTAGCAACATCGCCATCGTGTTTCGGTCCGACTTTATCCAGCCGACGATTATCGACAATCATACAGAAATCTACATCCACGAACCCTCTACTAAAAGCTCCTGAAGAAATCTCGTCGCGTTCTCTAGCTCTTAAAGCCTCGATGCTCCATGATTTGAATACAGGGAACGTTCGTGGGACCGATCTCACTGACAGTACAACCTTGTCTACGTAGAATAGCTGTCTCAGACACAAACAAACATACAAAAGATATATTGGCACGACTGCATACAAACACGTAAAACACAGAAACAAATATGGAAAACGGAGGGGGGGAATAAAGAAACAAAAGGAATAAAATAGAAGCACGTCCACTGACCGTCAAGAACAACAGAGGCCCTACATACTTCTTCTGTGTACCAATTGAATCCCACGTCCGCTTCATGTCAACTAAACATCGGATCATGTATGCGCACCAATTCATCTTGCTAACCACGGATAAATCGTCCAGCATGTGGACTAAACGAAAATTCGCCATTCCGTTTAGACAACTCTCAAATAAGCAGGTCACCATGAGGACGATGAAATGACGTCTGAACCAATCGCCACCATCCACACATTCGTTCATTTTATCCAACACCTTCGACGCCGTAATGTTCGACGGTTTTCTGACGCTGAATAGTGCAATCCACTCATCCAGCAGGTTAGATGTAACTCTCTTTTGTTTATTCTTAATCTCAACCTCTCCACGAGGCAACCCAAACACAGCATACACATCGTCTTCCTTAACGTGTACCTTCTCTTCGTCATACAACTGGAGCTTCCGGTCCATGTGGTTAAAATTTTCCACTAACCAAAATCCCATCTTTGATGATGTTGTTGTTATGCTCAGCTCCAACAAGCACCCGAACCCCATATCACGCACAACGTTCTTCTTAACGTCTGAAAGGTTGGATATTGCCTTCACAAACATAGCAGCTGAAGACCTTGTAGTCACTCTCGGTAACACATCGTCATCATTGTTTTCTACATCAATATCATCAGCCTCGTCCACATCGTGCTCGACTATAATATCGATATCAGGCGTTTTATTTTTACCCTTAACTGCAAAATATCAGACAAAGACGATATCATTGGACATCAACTATGTAGTGTGTATATATATATATATATATATATAAATCCATATGTGTATATATATACATACGATTTTCCCCACAAAGGCAGGCACTTACCATTCTGATTTTTTGTGATTTCTGCCAGGCAGCGTCGGGACATATCATCAACAAGATCATCACTATCAGTTTGGCTTGGTTTACGTGCTTCACATTTCGAACGCTTGGGCTTCGAATGGTCACCGACGCGTTCTAGTTCATTGAGAGGTCTCTTTGACCCTGTGTCATATCACGCATATAAGCACAAAGAACGTTAATAAAATAGACTAACATTAGACTAACAATCTCATTAATTCATAACTGATTACCATCTTGTTTGTTATTATGATTCATGGACGTGTCGCGTCGTTGTAATAAGGGAAGGCTTGTGCTATGTCGAGCACCGTATCATTTTTTTGCAAGTCCTAACAGAGGTACATCGTCAAGGACATCGTCACCAACTCGTTCTGGTTCGTTAAGAGTTCCATTTGACATTGGATTTATAAATACACATATGAAACACAAGGGCGTTAATAATAAAGACTACCTTAGAATATCAATTTCATTAGTTAGTAAGTAATTACCGTCCTTTGTGTTAGCATGATTCCTGGTCGTGTCGCCTTTCTGTAATAAGGGCAGATGTCCAGTACCATATCGTCTTTTTGCAAGTTCTGCCAGAGGTACATCATCAAGGACGTCATCACTAACAGCCTGACTCAATTTGCGTGCACCAACCTCCGAATGTTTCAAAGTGTCACCAGCACGTTCTGGTGCATCACGTTCTAGTTCCTCGATCATTCTATCCAAGGTCGGATCTGTACATCACAGAAGTGTTCAGAACGCGCATATAAATCGAAAGATCATTAATAATGTAGACTAAATTTATAATGTGGATATTAATACTCCATAAATACTTACCTTCTTGTGGGTTATCGTGCTTTGTGGAGTCGTCACCTTGTTGTACTAACGACAGTCTTGTAGAGCGGCTAGTGACATTACATTTTGCTATAATATCTCCCAGGGGTACATCGTCAACAAAATCGTCGTTATCAGACTGGCTCGGTGTGCGCGCACCAAGTTTCAATCGCTTCAAGCGAACACTGGCACGTTCCAGTGTAGCGATAGCGCTCTCCGACACTGGAAATTTACAACACACAATGGTTGAAAATACGCGCATGAAAGCAAGCAACACTAATAAAATACTAAAACAGACTAACTTTATAATATAGATATAAGTATTTCATAAACAATTACCTTCTCGTGACTTATCAGACTTCCTGTACGTGGCCCTTTGCCGTACATGGGGCAATCTTGTCCGACATCGGGTCACTAACAAGAGATAATAAAGAAATGATACAACATAAGTCAAAGCACAAAATGCACTATATACTGATAATACATATATATCTACACTTAAAGCTATAAAGTGCAACGGACTAAACACAACATACAACATACAAAACATTATAGTCTACCTCCTTCATCATTCTGCGTACCACCTTCACCATTACGTTCAGGTACGATGTCGGTCGTCCTACGAGTAGTACCTACACACAATGAAACATCAATCGTACACCTCATAAACTTATTTGGGGAAATTGTTATAAATAGTGATAATAATGATAATGGGTTCAAACTTAGGCAAATATGAATATGAGTGAGAATACGCTCTAGTGTGTCATGTGAATTTACCATCTGACTATCAAAATTGTAAAGTTATTATAATTCTGTATTTTTTTTAGATTAGTTAATGAATCATGAACAAATGTTAGACAGATCTATGACAGCAATGCTGGACACTACTTGATATAACCAAAATAAACACACATAGAACATAGAACACCTACTGCTTACAACAAAATTCTCAATAATTACCAGAAACAGATGAACCATGTATATATATATATATATATTTTTTTTACAGGTATAAGTATTTTTTTTTCCATTCTTGCAAATGAGACGTCAAATAAGCTGCCTAATCGACCTGAACTTGAAGAACCTTACCTCTCTTCCTCGTTTGTTGCGAATTCCCCATACTATTTCGTCTGTTACCGTCTTTTCGGGATTTCCACGAACATTTGGATCTAAAATGAACGAAATACAGAAGTTATCACCACAAAACTTCAGAAAACAAGCATGGTATAGGCAAGCCCGTTAAACTCACTATGGATTCCGATGAGAATTTGAGCTCAAGAGGCACTCCAAATCTGAGAAACCTTCGTCGTTACCCAATGAGCTCGCTCGTGTCTGGCCTAAAAATCAGATGCAATTAATGGGTCTGAAAATTCTACCTTTACCCTCTGCAAGTGGACGAAAGACGGAACTGCCCTCAAACATACAAAATTGTCCGTCAAAATTGAGGTATTTACAACTATGCCACCGCGTAGTCAAACAGTGATTAATAAGTGTTGACTAGATCTCAGCCCTTGATTGAGTAGATCGAGTGGTGTACAATTGTTCTCATTTCTTTCATTATACCATCATTCTCATTTGATCAAATCCCTATATATATATATATATATATATATATATATATATATATATATTTTTACGATAATTGATACACTGAATTAATATTTATATAAATGTCAAATTAACTGAAAACCCGTTGTTTTGGTGTATGGGTGACTGGAAAATTGCTCTGCAAGGGAATATCCAACTGACAACCGATGAGGTCAATAGACAAGGAAAAATGGTTATTGAATTACACATCATGCTACATTGTCAAAATAATGTACAATATGATAATTACCAATACAAGAATCCATTCACAACTGGTACAGGTGAAAGCATAATTTCACGTTGAAAGCATAACTTTATCGGAACAACTTGAGATGTCAAATAAATATTTTACAAACTAGAGCTGGCCGAGAGATCGCCTGAAAGCCCACTTCCGTAGGATGCTGTACGTGAAGTGGTGGCAGTGGCACCGGCACGAGCTTTCTGTAACTGCCGTATCTTGAAAGCATCCCTAGGCTGTGCTTGGCTTTGTATGCCGGATGTCTCCTCATCTTGCCCTAACAACACAATACAACAATAAACTAATAATAATGAATACCACATCACTTGTCTAATGCCACCACTCGACTCGATGGAATTTTTTCACTTTCAGCACTAAATGGAACTCATAATTAAATTCTTTGGTGCATGTAAGCCGCTTAATTTCATCCCATAAGCAAGCAAGCGTGGTTCGGAGATGAAAGTTATAGGAAAAGCCTAATAACTTTGTAAAATAAAACAAACCAACACAATAACTTCAATAAATTAAGAACCTATAGAGCACCCAAGGACATAGGATCAGCTTCTATTTATATTGTATCCGATTCCCAATCAGTTCACAACTATTTCAAGGATAATAACAGTACAATAGAGAAGATGATAAATTAAAAAATAAAATAAAATAAAATAACATACTCTCAGACTCTTTCCTTTTTCCTTGTTGTCTGTCTCTAGTTTGTTTAAATTTGCTTGAACCAGACATGTCACTAGTGCTTGGAGCAGGCGCGCTTTGCAATGTTTGAGGCATCCCAGGATTCCCACTTACTGAGGCTATGTTGCTTTGCAAGCATATGGATATCACAAAATCAACATCGGGGGATGGACCTACAATTTTCAGGACAAAGTAAATGATGTTAGATCAACAGCAAGAGATGGAGCAATGAAACATCAACATCAACATCAACATACCCAATATATTCCCAACAGGTTGGGGTCTGGGGGGTCAGTTGTACGCAGACCTTACCCTTGTAATTATACAAGGAGGCTGTTTCCATAACGACCCAAGGTGCGTTGCGTCGTTTGATATATTTTTTTTCTAGAAACTTCACTAATAGAAGAAGCACACTAGAATTTAATTGAGCCATTTTGATCTAGTCCGTTATTAGCACTATGCCAGGAGAATTGTCAACAATGACTCTTCCAGCTCCATATGCAATGGACATGGAGCAATGAAAGTTTGAGAAAATTTAAAATTGAGTGTATTTATAGTATTATTATACCAAACTACCCGGCTCAATTAAGATCTATTTATTCTTAGTTCTGATCCTAACGGCAGCTAAACAAGAACAAAATATTGCATAACTTAAACAGACAGACAATCCAAATTTAAAGGGGAAAAAAAAAAAAAAAAAAAAAAAAAAAAAAAAAAAAAAAAAAAAAAAAAAACTAGATGAAAACATAAATAAATACCTTCAACAGCTGGCAGATTAGTCACAAATGCAGCTAAAGGTGGGGGTAGGGTTTTTAGAATATCATTGATTGAAGTTGTTCCTCCACTATTTACAGGTACACCACTCGTCAACGGGTTTGGGAAAGCACTCAATCCAGGGGCAGGAGGGCCTGCAAAAATGTTCATCTTCTAAGACTTCACAACAAAGAATTCTCATCCGGGGCTTATTCAATCAATCTAACCAGGATACGAAGTAGTGGCTAAAGGGAAATCTACCATTCATTTTAAACGGAACCATTTTACCACCAGCTTTGTACTTGAAACAGTTCACATAGTATCTTCCCAAAAAATGTCTTATTACAAGTTTAACCTCTAAGCACCATAGTACGAATTTTAGCATAAAAGTATACGTATCTATTGAAAATGTATGGTTGTCTAATGGTTAGGTCTAACAGCAACAAATATCTAGCCAAAGCACCTAATATGGTGTTACCCCATAAAAGTATGTACAGTACCATTCTGATGTCCCGGGCCATAAATCACCATTCTGGATACATCTGGAAGTACAATCTTGCCAGAAATATCTGGATTTTTTGGACCGCTTGAAATTTTCCAGTCTGCATGAACAGCAGGAAAAATTGATCATAAATCAAGTAATCACACATTGGGCGTGTATTTAAATAATTACTTGACCTGTAGACATAGGCCCGTTGGCTGGAACAGCTTCAGCCTTCCTATTCGCATTTTTAGTGAGCCACTAAGAAAAGGGAAGACCATATGCATAATCATTCACAGATACCTCAGAATATAACATATATTATTACCCAAATATAAGTACCTCTTGCCGAGCTAAATGATCCAAGTCCTTAGATGAACAAGGCCAGAGATCCATAAAACTATACCGGGATATAACATCTTGCAGAGAGTTTTCCAAAACGGATTCCCCATTTTCAGCCATTCTGCATAAAGCTTCTTTCCTCCTTTGCTCAACCTATCATGATACTATTAGCTAAATTCTAGAAACAACATTGAATGTATTGTGCTGGAAAAATACGGCATATAACAGAATATAAGACGGGGTACTAAAAATAATGCATCTCCCAAACACAAGAATACAAATTTCGGTGAATCTACCTTTAACATGCTGGCAAGATCTCCGTAGGTCTGCTCAAACTGAATGAACTTATTCCAAACCTGAAAACAAATGAAACCAAAATGAGGATTATGTGAATTTCAAGCAAATTGATTGAAGATATTATCAATTTCACAGGACAGAAAAAACCAAACATCACGAGAAGCATTTGAATTTGGAGATATTGTACACAAACAACTAATATAGGATGACATATAAAGCAACAAAAGGAGAGAAAGTTATAGAACATAGAAGCTGAAGTACTTCTACAGATTCATCAGGCGGAAGTGAGCTCAAAGCCCGTTCAAACAATGCACGGACATTTCTATCGTCATTCAACCGACACAGGAAATCAGCATACCTGCAATATAATAACATGAGTTCATTATGAAAGCTTATAACATCTTCAAATCGTGCGTGAGAGAGTTTTGTGCCTGTAGAGAGGAAATGACAAATGAACTCACTCTAGAATGTAGCTCGGCTCATGCATAAAGCGTTTGAGACCTGCTTCAAATACATTGTGCGCAAGCTGGCAAAATTTCAGGGGCATGATCAAACTAATATGCTATAAAAGATGTTACGAAGTGAATTGGAAAATGTACTCTACCATCTTTTCGGTAAAGAACAATCATACGGATATATATCAAGGAAATCTTTTTCTTTTGTATGGATGGATGGATGAATGGATGAATGCATGAAATTACGTATGCACGTGTGTATGTGTGCGTGTGTGTGGTGTTCCTTCAACCAGAACTGGCAATAGCCTCCTGCTCACCATCACATTATATTTATTGTAACCGCTGAAATATATGAAAGCCGAAACATTTTTTAAGTGACAATCACCTTTGCATTTTTATCCAGACAAAAAGCCATCATTGCATATGCAACAAAAACATGGTAAGTGCAGTTTGGAGATTTGCGTGCATCCAGAAAGTATTTCCGAGCTGCTTCAATTCCTTCAGTTCTCCTTAAAAATCTTATGTACTGCATAAAGGAACATCATTAATAATCTAGGAAGTAGACTTCTCTGTTTTAGGTCTTGATAAGTTGCAATACAGCAATCTAAGACAAACTCTGTTCTTTACGTGAGTGAAACAGAGACAAATTTTAGAATTAACAAATAACGAAACGACATTAAAAAGCAAGGTCTACAGAGAACTATTTAATCATCCCTTTTAACGAATTGGCGCTAGATAGGAACGAAAACCTAAAAAGTGAAGAAGGTTTGCAAATAAAAACAGGATAGAAAAGTATATGAATTTAAAAGAAATCTGAACACTTAAATACTCATAAGAGACTTCAAAAACCAATAGGATATAATAATATATTAGTCGAGGTCTCCATGATATCAGGTTGGCTTTCTGAACCTTTAGTTTGTGAAAGGCAATTTTTTTTTTCTACTCATCTTTATACAGCATATAAAAATTAGAAGACAACCATATGTACCTGGATGTGTGATAAAGCAGTTGCATTCACACCATCTCCAATTAGACTTTCATATACTTTTTTCGCTGCCTGCGCAAGCAGAATGTATCAAAAATAAATGACTGGGAGAGACAGAGAGAATCGTGCGACTGACCTGAACTGCTCCATGAGATTCCTCTAGCTCAGCATAAGCATACTTTAGCATGTCAGAATCTAACATGAAAAATCAAAAACATTTATACACCAAATGGAAAAACAGAAAATGATGGACACGCAAGAAATAGGATGTCTCTGGAATAGGTTTCATCAGCACAATGTTTTTTCATTTGAAAAAATCTCAAAGGACACAAATTCTTTCAGCATTGCCAGATAATTACCAGGAAGAGCCTTTAAAGCACGCTGGAAAACTTTGATAGCCGAGCCCCTGGAACCACTTTTTGCATGCCATGTCGCATAGTCATACCATATATCAGGATAATGATATAAATACATGAGGCACTAGCACAGAAACACAAAAGTGAGCATCTTCACCTCTCTATTTGTCCCTCTAGTAAATTACAATATTGCCAATTCCCAAAACATACCAAACATTAAAGATCAACATGTCCATGAAAGCCAATGGAGAAAACAAGGGTGTCAAAGATAAGAAATATATTTCTCTTAATTAGGAAAAAAATCCGTAAAAGAAATGTGAAGTCCGATCATATTATCATGGAATGATTGATTTATGAATATTTCTGACAGAAATAGCATAGGTCATTTTCACCAACAAACCTTTATGAAACAAGCTTTAAGACTCATTTCTTAGACCACACATGAATTTATCTTGTTCAATGTAATTCGCCTCACATATTCTACAAACAGCAGTTTAGAAACAGTGTACAGATGTTATGCAGCAGGGAGACCGGAAGTTCTATTTTAACTAGTTGCGTCTTCAGTACCTGCTCGTAAGCAAATGCAATCCGTTTGTTCGAAGAGGAATTGTCAATTCGCTGGGGGTTGCCTCTGTGATGAGAAAAATGTCTTACCGAATTGAGTTGTGAATCTAACTGATTATTCATAAAAGAACTACAAAGCAGATAAACCACAAAAGGATGCTGACAAGCAGAAAGGTGAATATCCTCGGATAAAATATACTGACATGAACAAGAAAGATGGAAAGATCAAACCATAAAACGTAAAAATTTTCTTTTGATAACAGGGATACAGCTGCTGACAATAAAACTGTAACCATATAGGTTCTAGATCAACCAAACACCAGCTTAGATGTAGTACTTTTTACCAGCAACATTGAAATGCAACAATTTTACTCAATAAAAAATACATAAAAAATTGACAGATGAAACCTACTTCTCAAAGCTCAGCAACTTTTTCCAAGACTTCCATTGCATTTCCTCCTGTCATACATCAAAGTACAATCAAATAATCACTTAGCATCTAGTTCTTTTCTTTTGTAGGTAAAGTTCAACTGCCAGTCCTATATAACCAATTTTCCCCTTCCAGCAAGAAAACACAAGGTAAAAACTCAATTCAAGCATCCCAAGCCAGCAAATCAGCCATATAGTCCTAGACTGGGTTACCATGACAAGTTTAAGCGCAGATACACACATTGTTATGTGGCGTTTTCTGTCTCTCAATCAATCATTTTTTCACAAAATAACTGAGTTAGAGCCTTAGAACCACTAATACAACTCTGAAATCAATATTTGGCGAAACAAATACCTTAAGAGAGCCAGAAGGAGGAACAGCAAGCATATTCCAGTCAATGTCATCAAAATACTTCTTGCGCTCCCTGTAAACAGCCCTTGCACTGTTATACTTTGGTTGATACTCGGCAACCAACCCTTTGGCCTACAAAATATTTGAACTATCAGATCACTACTCCTTCTATGATAGCTTTCATCATTATAATTAGAAATACCTTAAGCAAGCAGAATAGAGATTTAGCAGCGAATCTTTAAGTGAAAGTAATGAAAGCTCACCGTGATCCAACAAAATTAAGGAAACAGTAACAAGAACAAGCATGCAAAAGCCATGAAAAAAAAATCTAGATGTTCATTCAAATACCAGGATTCCTGGTCTTAACAACATATGACATGTCACAATCAGACATATATCATATTGTACAAATAAACACCAGTTGCGCTGCAACAAGTTTTAGCTTCTAAAAATTTTGGAATACGTCTGATAAGTTTTACAACTGAGACATAAACTTTCTTTACTAAAAAAATAATTGAAAAAGGAAAAAAGGAAAAATAAAGGGAAAACATAGTTCATGAAAAGTGATGAATTGCATATAAACAAAAACAGCAGGTAAACTCATTCAATAAGAAAGTTTCATGCAAGAGATTCTTAAGACAGATTGTTTATTCCAACCCTATTATCCTCGGACCGTGAATAACAAATTATCATAAATGCACCATCAGCAAACTAACAAAAGCAAACAGCCATACAGAAATGAGAATCAGAAGCTTACCAATGCACGACTAACTGAATTCTCAAAATTCTCATAGTCCCTCCAAAGCTGTTCAACATGATGAGTGGGCATCAAAATTGCTCTTTGATAAGTCTTCCGTATGGCAGTCATCCTTTGTGACTCTTCTAATGTTGTTTGTGCCTGTTTCAATTGATCCCGTAAACAGAACACAAACTAAATCATTTTTATGAACAAGTGTATAGGCAAAGAACAAGACATCACAAAACAGACCGGTAAGGATTTCAAATATGCAATGTACTCCATCCACACAGGACCAGATGCTATATCAGCTCCTGTCAGCACCAATGAAATAACGCTTATAAACATCATCACTGAAGTAAACAAGATGCATAGCCAATTCAACCTCATAGACAAAATTTAGAAGTAAAATATCAATAACTTCAGGACCAAAACAAAAATTCATAGACACAACAAGTTGAAGCTATCCATCATCTTTTTTGTTTAATATTAAGTAAAAACATAGAAACTGTAAGTTAAATGAGAGTCACTTTCAGTTTGAGTCAATGTCTACAAATCAAAAGCCAAGGCCCGACTGCCTCTTCTTTTTTGTTAAAGAGTTAAACAAAAAATTAAAAGCACATGAACAAGAATTCTAAACTTTGACAAGATTTTTCACAACAAAGGATTCATATTTACCTTCACACAATATGTAATGAAGATTCCATACAGCAGCTAAAACACTTAAAAATTGTGTACCATAAGCAGAACCATTAATCATGCCATGTACGGGGAAAAAAAATTTAACCTTTAAAGCCTGTATGAAAAAGAAACAGACTTGTTGGGACATGGAGAGGAAGGGACGCGAGGAAAAGAAGGATGCTCACAATCATGAATGTTCTAATTCTTTGATACTTGAAACTCACCAACATAGTTAAGCATGAATTCATAAGCTTTTTTTGTCTCTTCCTGACCTTCTAATCCTTTCATGTCATTTATTTTCCTTATGAAGCGGATGTAACAGCGCCTACAGTGAAAGAATGAGGGAGAACAATGTTATTCCAACACATTAAAATATGAGAGCGGACACACACAAGAAAACTCAACTTTGGGGAGAGAATAGCGAAGAGATGGAATCAGCAGCACAACATGAGACAGTAACTCATCCAATAGAAGAAATCCCTCTAACAGCATAAAAGAAGAACATAAAACTTCATCTAAAAGTAGGAAAATTTACCAAAGAGGAACTTGCAAGCAATTCAACAGACAGCGGCTAAAAACTTGTCTTGTTGCTTCATCATTGTTTACAGCCATAAGTCCTTCGACATACTGCTTCCAATACTTTGCCTGAAGATTCGACCATAGTTCAGCAGCCAAAAAATACATTGGCCACACAGCATAAGATAGTCTGTGCAACTTTCCCATCAAAATTAGAAGAACAGAAAAGCCAAAGCAGCACTAGTTATTCAAGAGAGCGTAAGCAACACTTGAAAGCATATAAAATTATGATCAATCCATAAATATGGTTATGCCTGCACTGATTTTTTATTAGCGTGCCTAAGCGAATAAACGAATATCAATCCTTTACATACAACAGCACCCAAATAACGTTAAATCTGCAATTCCATAAAGAGGATTACCGAAGTGGGAAATGCAGCCAGAAGTTTCTCATATATTGGCACTGCATCCGAAATAGGCATTCGCTGAAATAACAAACCACCCAAGTTTACACATCTTAAACAAAGAAACATGTCCAAATGATGATAAAACACAAACACAGTCACATAGAGGATAGAAAGAGGAAAAAAAGATACATAACAAACCAAACTAGCATTACCAGTGCCTCATTTGCAAGAATTTCAGCAGCTTCCACGTTGAAATGATCCGCATTCCCATCTTGGCGTCAACAAACAAGAAATTGGATGAAAATTTTCAAAAATCATACTGCTTTAGCATTAAAAATTTCCAATTTAAAGAGCTCAAAAGGGGGGGAAGAATGCTTTAGAACAGTAGTGAGGAACTTACCGAGCATCGACGTAGAATTTGTTTCCGCGGTGCTCTTGGCCATGATCCAAAACTATTTCTACAAAAAGGCTTTCGATAAACCCTCAAATAAATAACTTAATCACTCCTCGCGTTTGAGGCACTTTATTCAGAGACGTGGAAATCTTCCTTAGCAGTATCAAAACATAAATTAGAGTAGATATTGAGCGAATTCGGGATAAAAATAATATGGTGAGTGAGCCAAAAGCCGTCGGCGAAGTTGGAACGAAACCGGCGGAGGTGCGCCGGAGGTTTACGGTGGTGAATTTTTACGGCGTGTTCCCAAAATTTGGGCGTTTAAAGTAAGAGCACGGCCCATTCATATAAAACAAGGCCCAGCCCAAATCCTTAATGAAATTGTCCGATACATTGACTAGGCAATATTGGGGCAATTGACGTAACTATCTTCCTCAAAATAAAACATTCAATAAAAGTTGGGGAAATTTTTATATATACTTACTGATTTGTTATTATTTGCAACATTACTTTCCAAATCAATATATTTGTGTGTATACCTAAAAGAATAAAAATAATTATATAAATGCCTACAGAACAGTTACTTTCAAGATGAACCACCTTCCTTATTTCTAGCGCACAATCTCAGCACTTCATATGGAAAAATTTACATATTTGAATTTTAAAAACCGTAATCGTCTGTGAGAAAAAGGAGGAAAATAGCAGTGAAACTCAAAACGCAGTACAAAACACTGAAGAACTACACGTCGGCGGCGAGATTTTCCTGAAACACGAGCAGTCGAGGTGTTATTCCGTGATAATTTTACAAGCGTCGCCGAACAGAGGTATATTTAGAGGAATACTTCTGCGATAATTTTTTGATTTAATATTTAATTTGTATATATTTGGTTGTATATTTTTCGTGATGTTATGAGGATTTTTTTTTTTTTTTGAATTCCTATAATACGTTGAATTTTTTACTACAGATAGTATATGTATGATCTCATGTCTAGTTTTTTTTTTTCGCGCAGATGGATCCGAACATGATGATCTTCATACATCATGGAGGTGAATGGGTCGCGAATGATTACGTTAATTACCAACTATCTGGTGTTGTGGTTCAAAAAGAAGGCAGTTACAACGAATTATGTGGTATATTGTGTGAGGAGATCGGCTTGATACGTCAATCATCTGTGCTTGACCTAAAGTATAAGTTGAAGGAAGGTAGTCCACTAATGTCGATAAACAACGATAGCAGCCTTAGATTCTATGTGTTTTTGGTGTCCAAAGAAGCTGACTACACAAAATATTCGGTGTGCGTTGTGGTGAAATCTGGGATTAGTGGTGAAAATCAGTGTGATCACGACGTGAATGTAGGTTCGTTGAATTGCGAATCAAACATTGCTCCACTGTGTTATCCAGAGCTTGAAAGATATCCTGATAGATCAGATGGGACGATAAATTTCTTATCGTTCGCGAGGAATGTGGCTGAAGAGATGGTAGAAGCGGCTGCATATACAGAAAATATACTGGAAAAATACCCTGGATCTGGAATGTGTGTGGCGGGCGAGGAGAATTTTGACTCTGGTATTGTTGCTGGTATTCTACTAAAGGATAAGGAAACGTTACAGACGATGCTGACAATGCATGCTATAAAGAATCAGTATCAATTTAAGGTGGACAAGTCATGCTCCAAACAATATTATGTCAGGTGCGTGACGAATGATTCTGTTTCTCGAATTGATGATGATATATATGTTATATTCTGGTATATATAATTTATATTCTATTTTAAATTAATTTTTGTTTTCCCAAAAAATATAATATCTCTGTTTGCAATTAATATATTTTTTTGTAACAGTAGCAAATGGTATATTTTTAGTAAGATTTCAGTAATGTTTGGTGTGATATATAATTTTAGTTGGGTAACAGTTAGATATTGGTTTTTAGTACCAGTGTTTTCTTTTTTCACAAAAATATAAAATCCCCCCCAGCAATTAGTATATTTTTAGTAACAGTTGGGTGTAGATTTAAATTACATATATTATATTATCGATCGATAATTATTTATTTATTTTTTTATTTGTTGATTTTTAATATCTTACCCAGGTAGTAGTATATGTAACTTAATAGCTGTATATCTGATTTATTTTATGTTATATATAACATAGATTCTGGTACATAATTTATGTTGTATCTAATACTTTTAATATTTGTGTCAGGTGTGTCTCGAGCGATTGTACATGGTTTGTGAAAGCTTCACGTATGGGTCAGTCAAACACTTTTAAGATAAGATACGTGGGGACTGAACATATATGTTCTTTGGATGTGCGTACTAGTAATCAGAGACAGGCGACGTCAACCCTTGTTAGTAGTTTCATCAAGACAAAATTTACCAGAAATAAAACAGCATATAATCCGGGTGATATCATTGACGACATGCAAAACCGTTTTGGGATAAACTTGACGTATCACAAAGCATGGAGGTCGAAACGCAAAGTTGTTGATGAAGTTCGTGGCAAGGCTGATGAGTCATACCATTATGCTCATCAATATCTTAATAAGGTACGTGCATCAAACCCGGGAAGCATTGTGATGATGCGCACCACATGGGATAAGAATTTCATGTATGTTTTCATGGCACTCGGTGCGTCTTTAAAGGGATGGTTACATTGTCGTCTAATTGTTATTGTCGATGGGACATTTTTATCGTCGGTGTATGGAGGAATTTTACTGACTGCATCTTGTCAAGATGCAAATTCTCATATATTACCGCTTGCATTTAGCGTGGTTGACTCGGAAAACAACAACTCCTACATATGGTTTTTCACCAAATTGAAAGAAGTAGTTGGTGAAAGGGAGGGTCTTTGCATTGTCTCAGATGGTCACGAAAGCATAAGGCACGCAGTAGAAAAGGTAGTAGTATATTTTCTCCAGTATTTTTTTTTCCATTGTGAAAAAATATAATATCTGCAGTAGCAAATGGTATATTTTTTTAGTAAAAATTAGGTAATGATTGGTGTGATATATATTCATTTTTTAGTACCAGCGAGGCATTTTTTTTTTTTTTTGGCATTTAGTTATATCACATCTTCAGCATTTTTTTCCCACAAAAAAATATAATATCTCACCCAGCAATTAGTATATTTTCATTAACAGTTGGGTGTAGATTTCAGTGACATATACTATATTCTTCGGTATTTATTTATTTATCTATTTGTTGAAATTTAATATATTATCCAGGTAGTAGTATATGTTCAGTAACATTTATAGAGTTTTTTATATGCAATATAATTTCTGTATTAACATTTAAATGATATAGGTATTCTCATTCTGAAAAAGGATTTATTTGGTTCCTTTGCATATGTCTGAAATATTAACATTAAATGATATAGGAATTCCCTAGTGCGGCTCATTGTCTTTGCACGTATCACATCTCAAACAAATTGAAGATGCGTTATAAGACAGAAGCACAGGCAGTAAAGGAGGAGTTTTATGCAGCAGCGAGGGCCTATACAGTAGAGGAGTTCGATAAACATATAACGCAGATTAATAAGTTAAATCCACATGTGGTACCATATCTAGAGGAGATTGGCTTTCAGAAGTGGTCAAGGGTTCACTGTCCGAATAATAGATATTTTACGATGACATCTAATGCTGCTGAGTCAATAAATGCTGCCATACGATCCGTCCGTGATCTACCAATAACACCTCTACTAGAAGCGCTTAGAGATATGCAACAAAGGTGGAATGTGGCAAACAGAGAAGAAGCGAAGGCCACTTTTACTCCTCTTGCAAAGAAGCCACATAGGTGGTTGGAAACGAACTATCAAATGGCATCAAGATATTCAGTGAGTTTTTATTTATAATTAAAAAATTTTATTAATGAATTATAGCTGCTTATATACAGATTATATTTTTTAATGCATATACTAATATGCACAGACATATATACATATTGTAAACCTGCTAGTATGACTTATTATATAATATAAATATAATATTATGTCTCTATTGTTTGTGGGATTTTTTTTTCTTGATCTATTTTGTGTAGTACTATATAATGTTCATGACATATACCTTAAAAAAAACTATGTATATGCTGCCATATGTAACAGGTACAGAAAGCCAGTGACAAGGTGTATAAGGTGATATCTAATGGTAAGGCATTTATAGTGGACATTGATTCCAAGACTTGCACATGCCACCACTTTCAAGTTGATGAGCTGCCGTGCCCGCATGCTACACGTGTGATCAAGTCACTCCACCTGGATCCGGTCTCATTCTGTTCTGATTACTACCTAACCACTTCAATGTTGGCAACTTATGAGGTAGCTGTAATACCAATAGAAGGTGATCAAGCCTTCAAGTTTGATGCACCGGATATCCCGAAATTGGTAAATCCCCCGGATGGAAGAGTGAGGCCAGGGAGACCACGCAAACAACGATTCAGGTCGGGGTGGGAGCATAGATCAAAAAATAGATGCAACAAATGTCATGAGAAATGGCACAATGTGAAAACTTGTCGTAATCCAATACGATGAAAATCATAGCACTGCTATGTATATTATGAATCCTTTTTATGCTAAGTGTTGCTTGCCATCATTAATTGTTATGATTTCTTTTTTTTATTTCATACTTGTAACAGCAATGTGAAGGATATTAAGTGTGATTTATAATCTGTAACTTTGTATATAATACGCATTTATAGTACATATACCAAAGATATGATTTTGATATACCAAACTAAAAAAACATATACTACACGTACACCAGAAAAATCAATATTTGCATCACATATGTTTCTTCAAATATAGTACATCCATATGTTGAATAAAATAAGTATAGGTCACAATATAACATAGATATTCAGACATTCATATGTTCAGTTGTTCATTTGTTCAGTTTATATGTGTGTTACATATAAAACACATATAATGGGGGACAGTCTGGATAATTACAAGACGAAAATACCAGAAAGTATAACCTAAAAAAAATCTGGATAATATACCTTAATATAATTTAGATTTAAAAGAATTAAAGTCAATGTTGTCTCATTCGTAGTAAAAA